ATGCTTAGTACTCTCATTTTGACCATAATATTATAAGTGTGTTTCGTTTAATGCTTTGATGTATATCAGTATTACATGAAGATAGATGATGTCATCAATCGATAGTGTGATTTGAATCACTAAGCACACATTAATTTGAAAGAAAAATTCTCAGACTGTGCATCGCACGGGTGAGTTTACTAGTGGGTGTTAAAAGAACACTTAAATATGACAGTAAAAAGTAAGTAAATAATTAATCTTTTATGGCCCATTTCTCTATCACCTTTATTGGGATTAATTAATGTATTCTTTGGAGGCTACTTTAGTGATATGTGCGTTTCTACCCAACGCAAGCTTCACTAAAATACAACATCATCACCTCAGTATAAAAACATAGTATATATCACTGAGGTGATGATGTTGTATTGAGGTGATAGTATAAATTGAAGGCTTCGATCCACGACCTGAATTACACTTGCAACATAAAACTCACAATTCTTTCATTAATTTTTTTTATTTGAAAGATCAAAACAAAAAGAGAACACTCTCACCTTAATTGTAACAATATAACATAAATGAAAATAGGGAACACTTCAATCCTAAATAAGACATTGGGACCGGAAATGTAACAGCTTGACCAAACCTAGCTGTTAGTTTTTTAGTGTTTAAAAATGCATTTCTTTGAACAAGAAATCACTAGTTTTTAGCGTTTAAAAATGCATTTCTTTGAACAAGAAATCACGTTTAAAATGAAAAATAATGTTGGCCCGTTTAAAAAAGAAAAAACTCTTATTTCCTGTATAAGATGTATTTTTCCTGTAATTTACAAAAAATAAAAAATATGAATTGATCAATTGAACGAACACATTAAACGCACATGAGATCAACAGTAGTTAAAAAAGAAAAAAGAAAAGCTCCTCCCTGTGACCCATGTTTTTTATTGTTACAATACAATTATTAAATACCAAAATTAATTGCATGGCGGCTAAAACTACCTCCCTAAAAGACTACGTAGTAAAACTTAAAATTAAATACTACTACATACATTGTATTAGATTTCAGATGTTTTTTTTCAAACAAGTATATCAAAATTAAAGTTTTTTCTATACCTAAGATTTTTTTAGTATAAACTTTTACACATAAACAATAATAAGCTCGCGTAACAGTAGCACAACTTTTTCATATGTCATCTGTCGTCGTAATGAAAAATGACGAGTTTAAATTGAATGTTATTTGATGATCATTTTAGATAATGATTTTAATTTAGTCTCATTCTATTGTTATGATGTCTTATTTGTTGACATTAGTTTGCAAAATTATGTCTTGGACTTAATTACTCTTTTTATTTGTATCATCAACTTATGCATTTACGAATTTTTCTTTTATGTAGTAATAATGGGATTCACTACTTGAATAGGTGTATACTTTTATTTCTTTTTACTATATACTCTATATGTTATTTTGTGAAGTATATAATTCAAATGTTCAAAATAATACCTCGTATTTTTGTAATAGATATCGTATTATACACATATACGTATTTACACGTTTTTTAAATTCAACGTTTTTTTCAATGAATTTTTGACCGTTTTTCGTTAACATCAACGAATAAAATCCGTACATCTTAAACCTCGTTTAATTCTCGTACCGTATTTAACTAACTAGGTGACCAAACATTGATCTATACCCAGGGCCGGTCCCGTTCATTTATGGGCCTATGGGCGATACGCTATTTTGGGCTTATATTTAAGACAAATCGTAAACCATATACTTATTTGAAATATGAATTATAATAAAATTAAAGTATCTAATGAAGTTCATAAAATAAAGGCGAGAATCACTATTATTATTTAAGTTACATATTTGGGAATAAATAACAACACGAGTATCGAGAAAAAAGAAAAAATCATTATTTAATAACATTTCTCGCAAAAAAATGTGAAGCATAACATCAATATTCGCTTCATAGAAAACCTTCTTTCCAGTAATAAATATGACAAACAATAAAATTGCCACATATAACAACATTAAACTTTCTTACCCTTACAACTAAAAGAATAAATGAAAAGCAATATACTACATATTGAATTCATAAGTTGAGAATGATTTATTGACCGTTAAGAGCCTAAAGTTTGAAGCCTCGAAAAAAAGACAAAATGTTTGACCGCCACGAAGACTCAAAGTTTGAAGCCTCGAGCAAGAAGAATGTTGATTTGTCATCCTCTAAAAATACCGTTAGGAACTCAAATATAGTTTGTTTCAATTTGGAAACAATAAATAATTGCGATGAGATTTGAGAGCCAACAACAACAACAACAACAACAACCAAGCCTTAATCCCAAAAGAATTTGGGGTCGGCTAACATGAATCGATCTATGATATCGATGCCAAAAAGAGAAGGCGGACAAGAAAAGGAAAAAAAGTAAGATAAAATGAATAAAATAAAGATACATAAATATAAGATAACAATAACACAAGAATATAACCAAGATAAAAGAAAAATAAATAAAAGAGCATAAAAAGCTAGCAAATAAAATAATATAAGAATATAAAAAGATAAGGAAGATAAATGATAAAAGAAACAAGAGAGGAAAGGTAGACAAGACATCAATCGTCCACATGGATGTGCGCCCTACACTTTGCTCTCTCCAAAGCCATACTCTCATCCAACCCAAGAAGACGCATATCAGTTCTGATTACTCTAATCCAAGTCTGTTTGGGCCTTTCCCTCCCTCTCTTCTCTGACTCTTCTCCCCACCCCTCAAGTCGTCTAACAGGTGCATCACTCAGTCTTCTATGTACATGCCCAAACCACCGCAAACGAGACTCCTGCATCTTATCTTCTATAGGTGCTACCCCCACCTTTTGTCTGATTACCTCATTCCTCAGGCGGTCTTTTCTGGTATGTCCACACGTCCAACGCAACATACGCATCTCTGTCACACTCATCTTTTGAATGTGGCATTGCTTCACTGCCCAACACTCTACGTCATACATTAATGCCGGCCTAATTGATGTACGATAAAATTTACCTTTCAGTTTAGTCGACATACCTCGATCGCATAGAAATCCTGAAGCGCTTTTCCATTTCATCCACCCAGCTCTGATTCTATGACATACATCTCCATCTAATTCACCATCCTTCTGAATTATGGATCCCAAGTAACGGAACATATCACACACCGGTATCTCCTTACCATCGAGAGTAATCCCACTGTTGCTACTGCGTCTACCTCCACCGAACTTGCACTCCATATACTCAGTCTTGATTTGGTTCAGTTTGAAACCCTTGCTCTCCAATGTTTGTCGCCATACATCCAACTTTGCTTTAACACCGGATTGTGTCTCATCAATCAATACAATATCGTCGGCAAACATCATGCACCACGGTATATCTTCTTGAATTGACTTCGTAAGTTCATCCATGACTAAAGCAAATAAGAAAAGACTCAGAGCAGATCATTGGTGCACTCCAATAGTAATAGGGAACTCTGCGGTCCTCCCTACACTAGTGCGGACACTTGTAGTACAAACATCATACATATCCATGATGATGCTGATATACTTACGTGATATGCATTTTCTAGTCAGGGCACACCAAAGAACTTCTCGAAGTACCCTATCATATGTCTTTTCTAAGTCAATGAACACCAAATGTAGATCCTTTTTAGTGTCTCTATACTTCTCCACAACTTGTATAAGAAGGTGAATGACCTCAGTTGTTGAGCGTCCAGGCATAAAACCAAATTGATTCTCCGAAATTTTCACACTTTTACGTAGTCTTTGCTCAACCACTCGCTCCCAAAGTTTCATGGTGTGACTCATAAGCTTAATCCCTCGATAGTTAGCACATTCTTGTACATCACCCTTATTTTTAAATAAGGGAATGAGAGTACTCTTCCGCCAACTCACTGGCATTTTGTTGTTTCTCCAAATCATGTTGAAGAAACGTGTTAGCCACTCGATGCTTTTCTCTCCCAAACTTCTCCAAGCTTCGATCGGTATGTCATCTGGGCCCACTGCTTTCTTCCAGCCCATTTTTCTCAGATGCCATCTATACCACCTGAGAGCCACAAGCTCTAAAATAATTATATAAATTTGTTATGTTATACGTAGTAATTAACATGAATAAAAGCCTTAAAAGCTAAAGAGATGTGATGAGTGAAGAAACGTGTCTTTATATATATATATATATATATTCATTTTTAAACGTGACTCTGTTTAAGACTTTTCATTTATGTTTTAAATGGTCGAGTTGTCAACAAAATTAAACACTAGAGCTAAAAATGACCAAAACAACACATGATGACTTAAAATTAAAATAAAATAACACTAAAATAAAGGAAAAACTAATTTAAGTGCGGGAAATGCCGAAAGAGAGAACTAGATAGTCATAAAAGGGTAAAAGAGAGTAAGAGAAAGAGAAATAAAAATTGGAAGGCCATCAATAAATTAAACCGGAATCATATGATATTTTAGCAAAAAAAAAGAAAAAAAAGATACCTTAGTATTGACTTTTAGAAAACCCATTCAAAGAAAGCATTTGTTTGATGAATTTCAAAAGTTTAGAATCATTCTCCTCACCATTTCACCTCATTGAGTGTTACAATGTCCATTCTTTATGTAAATAAATGATGATAAGTTGTCTCCTGCTCAAAATAAAAATAATTTTCTTTTTGTAAAGTGTCTTACGTTCAATGTTCACTCCTTTCGTCTTATTTGACTTTACACATTTTTCTTTTTTATTTGTATAAAAAATGACACTATCATATTCAAATATCTAATTGCGTTACACTCGACTTTTTCAATTTCACTTTTCCGTTTGTTCTAAAAATATTGTGGCTTTCTCGTTCAAATAAAAAATTTATAATTCTACTCATTCAATCTCTTCTGCACAAACATTAATTATATACTCTGATCATATATTTCTCTCTTCCTCCCCTTATAAACATTTTTTTTTCTTTTTTGATAACAATTTATGATTGGAACTTGGAAATTTTTGCCCTCCCTTTCCCTTTCCCTTTCCCTTTCCCTCTCTTGTTCTCCACACCTTTTAGTTACATATTTTCCCTCATTTATGGTGACGGGAGAGAATTGGCATATTAGATCACGACTGAAGTAAGCAAGGTAACATGTGAATTGGTCTTATACGGCGAAGGATATAAAGGATTACCTGGCCATAGCCGTGTAAAACTGTAAATTACTCGGAGACTACTCGGCTTCAAAAAACTTGCAACCCAAAGTCAACCCGAATGGATGGAGTTGCCCTGCTGGCGGCCGCCGTGGGCGGAAGCGGCGGCGGAGGTCCAGCTCCGTTCCTTCTGAAGACCTATGACATGGTGGACGACTCGGCTACCGACGACATAGTGCAGTGGACTCCCGACGGCCACAGCTTCGTGGTTTGGAACCCTCCCGAATTTGCGCGCCTTCTCCTCCCGACCTACTTCAAACACAACAATTTCTCAAGCTTTATTCGTCAGCTCAACACCTATGTATGTCGTTCGTTTCGTTGCACTCGCCATTTGTCATCTAATTGATTAAATTCTTCTAAAATCGTCCAGATTTTCTTTGATCGATTCTCGTAATTCAATCAGTAAGTACCTCTTCGAATGTCTGGGTATCGTTTTTAGGGGATTGAGGTGTATGCCTTTGGGATTAGAGGGACGTTTCAGTGAAATTCGTTGGTTAATTAATACTGCCTCTAAGAATGAATCAAAAATTGCTCTTTTTCTTTCAGCTATGTTAGATAGGTATTGTTTGTCCCAAATGATCGATAATAGTTATTGTCTGGGTATCGTTTTTAGGGGATTGAGGTGTATAGCCTCAGCTGAATACTGTATTTCGGGTTGTTTTTCCCTAATTCCCTTCATGTGGTTTCTGGACTTTAGGAAAGTTTAGGGTTGTTTTCTGAACCCACAGTTGATCCTTGTGGCCGCAGCTTGTACCGTGTGGCTCCCAAATTGTGATAATAATGTTAGATATTGTTCTATCCGTGCATTGTTTCTGTGTTCCATCACCTCTACAATTGTATGTTCTGAAAGACAGTAAATACTGTTTCTACGAATAGGAACAGGTATAGAAAGTAGAATTGAGTACATCCCTTGTTGGAACTAAAGAAAATCTACTTCACTAAATGCAAAACTAAAAGGGTATGAGACTAAATTGTTTGGCAGCGCTATCGTTGTAATGTGTTTTTCAAGCAAAATAGCTTTTTTTAGCAATGAAGCAAAATAGCTTAAACAAAATGACAATCAAGTGCTTTTTTTACAATCATGTGTCAGTTGGTTCTGCTATTAATCCTTAGTCAGGATCTCAGAATCGTCAGGATCTCAGAATCACCTCTAGGAAGTTTTCCAGCACCCTAAAAGCTAATGTTCAACACCCTAAAAGCTAACTCTTCTAATATATTGATGGGTTCTGCTATAGTGTGTTTATGGGCACGTGTTAAGAAGCAATTAATGTGTGACATCTCGAGTTTCAAGAAAGAATTTAATAATTTTAAAAGTTAATGTATGATTTTAAAGTTCAGTGCAATTATCACTAATGTTTATGCATTAATCTCCATTTTCAAGGACTATTTAACAAAACCACATGTACTAAATAATATTAATTTCTTCTTAACATGTTCCAATAGGCACGCATTCGAAAAACTTTATATTAGTTTATCTCCAACTTTTGTTGACATTGATACCTCTACAGGAACACTACTGTTAGTTTTCTCAAACATTGATACCATATTCTATGCATCAATGGAATTTTTTTACTATCTTACATCATCGGCGCTTTTTACTCTTGTTGACTTTGTACATATGGGTAAAGTGCTAACAGTCTCAAGAGGGAAGCTAATGATGTGTTAAAGCATGCAATGTTATGAGGAATGATAAATCTCTGTTCTCTTTCGTAGGGTTTCCGAAAGATTGATTCGGAAAGATGGGAATTTGCTAACGAAGAATTTATGAGAGGCCAAAAGCATCTCCTTAAGAATATCCACCGCAGAAAACCAATTCACAGTCATAGTCATCCTCCAGGTTCTGCAATAGATCCAGAAAGAGCTGCATTTGAGGAACAAATCGATAAGCTTACTCATGAGAAGAGCACACTTGAGGCTAACCTCTTAACATCCAAACAGCAACAGTCCACTGCAAAGCAGCAGCTTGAACAACTAACTCAGCGGGTTGGTAATATGGAGCAAAGACAAGAAAATTTGTTGGCATATTTCAAGAAAGCTGTCCAAAATCCTAAGTTTGTTCAGTGCCTTGCTAAAAAACTAGAATCCATGGATTTTTCAGCATACACCAAGAAAAGAAGATTGCCTCTAGCAGTAGAGCATTCATTTCCTGTTGAAGAGACAGTCTTGGTAGACAACCATAGCACTTGCAGATCTGAGCTTGGTAACATTTGCCGTCAAGATCTCTCAAATAAGCTGAGTCTGGAGTTATCTCCAGCCGTTTCAGATGTTAATTTCCTTTCTCATAGCACTCAAAGCTCAAACGAAGATGGGGGAAGCATTCCAGAAAGAAGAGTATCAGAAGGATGGCCAAATGATTTGCAAATGGGAACTGCTCATGCTCCTATATGTGTCCCAGAAACAGTAGAGCTTTCAGATACAGGGGCATCATTTACACTGATGATGGATTCATCTATGACCAGCAAAGCCAGTGCAGTCGCTAGTCCGAAACTCAACTCATTTCAACATTCATTTACTACCAACGAGGAAGTTGATGACCATATGTGCTGCCATTTGAACCTTACTCTAGCATCTTCTTTATTACCACAAACAAGTGATATGGTTAAATGTTCAGTGTCAAAGTCCTGCATCAAAGGCTGCAACCTCCAAGATCGTAGCTCTCCACAGAAATCCAGCTACCCTTCCATTGATGACTCCGATGATAAGTCAGCACCAAGTGATAAGAAAGGGCCTGCCGCACCTCCAGCTCGTGTGAATGATGTGTTCTGGGAGCAATTCCTGACCGAGAGGCCAGGGTGTTCTGATAATGAAGAGGCAAGCTCTTGTTCCCGAGAAATCCCGTACAATGAGAATGAGGATCAAAGAGCAAATCAGGGAATATCTAGAAATACTAGCAGCATGAACAAACTCACTCTCTAAGGTCAATATTCTTCCCAATGTTTCAACCACGGAGTATGATTCAATTTTTTCAATTTTTGTTTGTAATTAACTTCTGACCCTCTTAAGCTGGTAGGTGATAATGGAACATACTGTACCAGCATCTACAACTGCATTGCAGCTACCTCTTGTATCTGTTTTTTTAACAATAGTTTATACATTATTGTATATTACATTATTACATGCTCTTAACCGTAATGAGGGTTGACCACCATTTTTATTCATATTTGTACACAGAGAGAGTATTAGTTATCGGGAATATTAGTTGAAGCTGAATCTGCTCGAGTCTTGAGATGATTACATAGTATTATTAGTATATACTTTATCTCTTTCCGCGTGGATCTTTTTACGGTTAGATTGCCAATTTGTCAATGATATATATATATATATATATATATATATATATATATATATATATATATGTGTGTGTGTGTGTGTGTGTACAGTTGTACACTAGTTTATTCTTTGTTAGGATGTTTTCTTTTGGACTGTTGTTAGTCCCAAACAAGATCAGACTAGACTTAAACAAACCAGATTAGATCATACTTAAACAGACCAGACAAGACTTGGATATAAAAATACACAAATCAGGTTAGACCAAACTAGACCAGCAAATTTCAGTCCAAAAGAAAACATGCTTACTTATCAAGAATCAGAAGAACCAGAATACGAAATAATAACTAATAATGCAAGTCGAGTTCATGTTTCTTCTCCCTTATGTCAATGAGTCATTCCATTTTCCATTATGCAATTGGATGCGCTTGTTGTTGGGTGTAGGCTTTTTAAGAGCATCTTCAATGCTATAATGTGCACGGTGCACATGTGTCATGAGAGAGATAGACACAAAATATTGATTGTATGACATTTCTCTCTCCTTCTTTCCACGGTCTTATGTGTTTTTGGTAAGTTTTTCTCTGCAATGTCAACCACAATGTCTACATCTAGACATTGTGCTTGACATTGTGAAGAAAAACTTACCAAAATGATGTAAGATCCTTCAAATAAGGAGAAAAATATTCTATTTGTTGTTTTTTAATTGGTTATTTCTCATGCCACATATGCACTGTTAACGTTTTAGCATTGAAGATGCTCTAAGGACCTGATAGATATGTAATGTCCCTCAATCTCCTGTCTCACGCCCGCTGTGGTCAGTTCGTATACCGTGGGATCATCCCACGGTGAGGACCATGCTCCTCCTCTCAAAACGATGTAGTTTTGCACAACTTTTAATATAAAAAAAATCACGCGTGAACAGTAACATGCATGAACAGTAGTTTTTTGTCTCTGTAATATTGTGGCGTAACTCACATGTAATGAAATGTAACTTACGTTGATAAAAAATGTAATTGTGGGCCAGTCGAAATGTAACTTGTCCAATATGGTGCATAAGAAATAAAACATTGATTTCAATGTAAACAATGAAAAAAGAGTTTAATTGCTCGATTACTTTATGTAAATAGTGAATTATTTTTCTTTTAATATCAGAGCCATAAAAATGATTTGAAAATATCTTTTCTATGTTTCAATAGCAGATGTTATTTTGTGATGTAATTCACGAATAAAATGATGTAACTCGTCCATAAAATGATGTAACTCCCGAATAAAAAAATGTAAACCGCGTTACATGGATGCAAGTCTTTCTTCATGATTGCTCGATTTATAAAACGTAAGGTGATCAATGATTGCTCGAACCCCTTCTTCATCATTTAAACAATTAAGAATTGTCCTTTAAGAGCTTCCATGGATGGTGCCACTTGAACTTCCGAAGAAGAACCATTCTTCAAGAGCTATAACGATGGTGAAATCTCACCTTAAATAATTGGACAATAATCTGATCATCACTAGCAATAGGTGAGAGATAAAGCAATACATCTGACATCGCCTTCACTGCCGAAGATAATACACAGGGACACACAGCCAATTCATGTCGCCAAAAGAAATTCAAGTGAATGAGGGATTTCTGGAAGTTTTTAATACGGGTATAAAATTGCGCCGGTTTGGGATCGGCACATCATGAGCATGGTGGGCCGATCCCATGGTATAATTTGCCCGTTGTGGCGAGTCTAACACCCAACTACAAAATCTAAATTATTTACAATTAAAATTTTGAATAATAGTAATGTTTAATGTAACAATTATAAGCATGTATCTCTTAAACAAAATTTTTTAGGAAATAAAGTTAAAAGTAGAAAATATCCATCTAAACAAAGGTAAACTAAATTATTGCATTAATTTTAGAAATAATGATAAATTTATAACTAAAATAAAAGTCATGCATAAATTGAGATTTTTTAGTGGCTAGGACTGTGTTTGAATTGTACACGCCCTTGTGGATAGATGGTAAACTCTCTTGAAATTTTAATCATATCATTGTCAATAAATTTTATAATGGGTGTTCACACCTTTCTTCAATAAAAGATCTTCCCTTTCCAAATCCTATCAAAAGACCCACCTATATTAAATGGGTCATATCAAATGGGTCATTCTTGATGTACACATTATTTGTACACAATTTATAGACGATTTGGGTACACAAATAATTCGGAGACAAATGCTGTCTTTTTCTTAACGAGTTACCTGTGTACACAGACAACTAGAGGGTGTACAAAAAATGAACACATTTTGTGTACACCTAGATTTTTTCATATCAAATACTGCAGTTGACATCTATGTTTTTGGTGCGGACGCGGACTGGAAAACCTGATTTTGGATTTCTTCAGAACTTTTATATTTATTTATTTCAAGAATTTTTAATCTAATAAAATTTCAACTCCAATATCATAAAAAAATACGTGATACATATGTATATTTTTTTAAATAAAGAAAATCATGTCAAATCATATTACTCCCTCCGTCCCTCTTATATTGTCTCGTTTTACCTTTTCGGGAAGTCCCACTAAAATTGTCTCATACCATATTTGGTAAAGTTTGTGTGGTTCTAAATCATTCTTACTTTATTCTTACTTTATCAATTAATATCAACCACACAATACCACTTTTCTTAATAATCGTGTCACTCTCTTCTGACCCAATATAAGAGGGACGGAGATAGTATATATTAACAACATAAATAAAAGTCCTTAACTCCGACTTTATCCCCTTTTATGGACTTTTCACAATTAGTGAGTAGTATTTCACGGGTGCTCTAGGGACAAAGGCAAGCTAAGAGTCATTCATGATATTTCAGACTTTTTGAGTAGTACTTCCAAAGTCTTCCATGTTCCAGGGACAAAGGCATGTTAATAGTCCTTAACTTTTGATATTTGGGACTTCATGTATTTTTCGGACAATAATTAGTACTGATTTGGCTTTGTTTTGGCAAAACAGAATAAGAAGTTAATTGTTACGTAATAAATTGATCGATATGTGATAACCAATGCATAAGCTAATAATTGATAAATTATCGAGACACTACGCTAACATGTGCACGATGCACATGTGACATGTGAGATAACCACATAAAACATTTATCGTGCATAAAGATTAGCAAGCGCAACTAGTACGGCTAATTGAAAATTTTAAAACATTTATTGGCATTGGAGCATAACTGCAAAAAGTTTTTTTTGAAAAATAAAACAAAACTATATTAATTTAATGAATGGTTTGCAGTTACAAGCAGCTAATAACTCAAAATCGAACTGTCTTTTAACAAACTTCATCTACCCTCATAAGTCAAGAGAAGTCGTACGATCACATTTTGAGATGGTCAGCTCCAAAGATTCAACGTGAATCGGTAACCACCAAACGGACAACATATAGTTCTTCTCAAAATAGCGAAAAGTCCCCTCAATCATTGATGAGACATAAAAATAAGTCACCCAAAACAGAGCAAAACTTTTCACTAAACGTATTGAAGCTTTGAAGCAAGTAACGACTATAAGCACCTACAAATAGCCAAGAACACAAACAAACCAATAATACAAACAAACCACGAAAGTCCATCTTAGAGGAGACTCATTCATCGGTGTATACCATGCACCCGGGAGGTACGAAAATGTACTGTGATTTTAAAGAAAGATACTGGTGGTCTGGTATGAAGAGGGAAATAGCCGAGTACATCAGTAGATGCCTTACTTGTCAACAAGTTAAGGCAGAACATCAGCATTCAGCCGGATTATTACAACCACTTTCCATTCCTCAATGGAAATGGGAGCACGTGACTATGGATTTTGTGGTGGGATTACCACGGACGGTTAAGAACTATGACGTTGTATGGGTTGTGGTGGATAGGCTCACGAAGAGTGCACATTTTCTACCTATCAACACCACGTATGCATTGGAGAGGCTAGCCAAATTGTATGTGGATGAAATCGTAAGGCTACACGGGGTTCCAATAACCATTGTGTCCGATAGAGATCCACGATTCACATCACGATTTTGGCTGAAGTTCCAAGAGTCCATGGGAACAAAACTGAAGTTTAGCCCTGCTTTCCATCCACAGACAGATGGCCAATCTGAGCGGGTTATTCAGATATTGGAAGATATGTTGAGAGCTTGTGCATTGGAGTTCCAAGGAAGTTGGGACAACCATTTAGCACTCGTGGAGTTTGCCTATAACAACAGTTATCACGCGAGTATCAGCATGCCTCCATACGAGGCATTGTATGGGAGGAGATGTCGTACACCGTTGTGTTGGGATCAGATTGGCATGGCCAAACTTGAAAGTACAAAGTTGGTGGAAATCACCAAGGCAATGGTAAAGATGATTCGTGAGAGGCTTAAGACGGCCCAGGATAGACAGAAGAGCTATGCCGATAAGCGCCGAAGAGCTTTAGAGTTTAAGGTGGGAGATGAGGTATTCTTGAGAGTTTCACCTTGGAAGGGAATCATCCGATTTCAGAGCCGAGGGAAACTTAACCCACGATACATAGGGCCATTTGTGATTCTTGAGAGAATTGGGGCCGTAGCATACCGATTGCAGTTGACTCCAGAATTGGAGAAGATACATAACGTGTTTCACGTGTCTATGTTCAAGAAATATGTAAGGAATATTTGTAATTAGATTTTGATGATGCTATATTAATTAGGACTTTAGAGTACCCCTCCTTAGATTTAATGTATTAGAATTTTCCTTGTAAAGTTCTTAGTATAATCGACTGGCAGAAGGCCTCCAGAGCAGAAGGCCTCCGGAGCAGAAGACCTCCTGACAGAGGACCTTTGGTTCTCTGCTTCAGAACAGAAGACCTCAGGGTCTCTGTTAGCCTTTTCTCTGACAGAAACCCTCCTGGTTCTCTGTTGGATATTTCTTCAACAGAAGTGCTCAAGACCTTCTCTGATCAACTCTC